GGGCAGGCGTGAGGGCGGGCGGGCGGCCGCCGCGCCTGTGCCGCTGCCCCCGTGGGGCTCACGCTCTTGAACGGCTTTTTCTCTCCTTCAGGCCGGCTTGCGGAGCCCTTGTAGCGGGAAGGGGTGGTTTGGCTCGCAGCGTCCTGAGGAAGCCGTGCTAGAAGAGCAGGCTGCCGCCTCAGAAAGTTTGAAGAGGAGGAGGAGGTGGAGGTCTTCCCTGCACGGCCGTGTAGCCCTGGACGTAGAACAGCAGCTCAGCTCCTCACCGGTCCGATTCCAGAGCATGGGCTAAAAGCTATGTCCCTCTCCCGTGTCGAAAATCCTTGTTTTCTGCTGTTTCTGTTTGTCTTCCAAGCAATATTTATCCTGATACTCTACCGAGGTGGACCCTCAAATGTGTTTCGTGGGTTTTTAGACTCGCGTCAGATTCTGGATTACTCAAAAACTCATGATGTGTACACAAACCTCAGCTTGTTTACCCAAGCTCCTAATGAAGAAACCATGCCGTACTGCTCAGTGCAGTCACCAATATTCGGTAGGTATTAATCGGTCGTGTTTTTGAAATAGCTGCTTTGGTACGTGATAACACTGAACGCTTTGTAAATGTAAGTTGTATATTTTTTCAAACTTTTCCACTTTAAAAGTTGTATACTGGTGCAATACTTACACTGACAGAACTTTCTTGTGTTAATTAACTCCTTTGTATTGGTTATGTGATGAAAAGTATTTTACTGATCTAAAAACTTCCAGTATTAAGGATTTGGCTACATAGAGGTTGTAGAACAAGAGTGAAAACAGTGCATGGTGTTAATACCAAGTTAGTAACACTTTTTTTTTCTTGGCTGTCCTGCATAAAATGTGCCAACGATTGTACTTTGGTAACTGCCTAATTTTGACCTCTTACTCACTGTGACTCCTGGGTTCTTTGTCTCAGCCTTATATCAAGCCTGTAGTTCAATATAAATTGATTCAGTTGGTTTTAAATATCGTTTGTAGGAGAATGTAGCTTGGCATCTTGCTCTTCATGGTGATCTTTTTGGCCTGTGATTGCTACGCATCCTTTAGACGTAGAAACTTCTCCTTTAGACTTACAAGTATGGTCACAGGTTAATTTGTATTTGCACTAAGACCAAATTAGAGCTGATCCTAGAGACAGCATTAATCCAGCAACTGCACTGCTAAAACAGTTGAGAAACTTTAAGTAAATAAAAAGTCAAACCCGTAAAACAAGTTTGTTGAAGTGGTGCGTCTCTGCTAATAGCGAATCTGTTCCACTCAGCCAGCCAAGAATGGGTGAGTTCTGTAAGCGTACACTTACAGCTGGTTTGGGGATGCCTGCTTCTTAGAGTACGGTGTAGTAAGTTACCCTCGTCTGGTTTTCCGTACTGCACAGGTATCTATCTGCATGTCTAAATCTTGCATATAATAAGCACTACTTAGTCGTTGCCCTGCTGTTGTAGGAAAGCTGGTAGCTGCACGTGGAGCACAGCGAGAGCAAATGGCTGACCTCGGTTCACAGCTGGAAGTACTGTGAAAAGCCAGTGCTGTGGTTACTCTTGTGTCAAGGTGCTTACTGAGGTTAGAGAACTCTGCTGGAACGCTTCGGATGAGCCTTTTTAGACTGCAGGCTTCATCATGGTGCTTGTTCTTTTGGGGAGTTTTCTTCCTTCCTCTGTTGCTGAAGTTCAATGAAGTACATACTGTACGTATGATGAAATTATATGATAACTTTTGGGTATATACTGCAGCATTTCCCTTGGAAACAGCTCTACTAAGTAAATACTGAAATACTAATAGTACAGAGCCTTTTTGCACAGGTGCCAGTCATAGTGGTCTTAGTGCAGTCTCTGTTCATCACTAGCTGCAGCCTATCAGTTCTTTTGGGAAGCTACAATTCTATGTTTCCAGCCTAATCGTTTTATTTGAAAAAGCACAGCAGGAGTGTGCCTGCACCTTGCTTGTTTGCACTACTGACAAGAATCTGCTGTCCTGAAAAGAGTCAAATGAGGAAGCTTTGGTCTCAAAGAAAAACAAACCTAGGTGCAGTTCTGTGCAGTTTGCCTACAAACCATCAGATAAGCAAGAGTAGTGATGCATTTGTAGGAGGCAGAGTAAAATTATACTAATCAATGCTCTTAGACCTGTGAAATCTTTTTAAGACCTCTTCTGCCCATCCCTGAGAGAGCTGAGAACAGAGGGGATTGGCCTGCACGTAGTACTTAAGAGCTAAAATGAAAGCACAATGTTCGTTATAGACAGAAACGAACAGTAAAGTTGACTGGGAGGAAAAAAAAATATGAGGCAAAGTAATTGTGGAAGTTTTGCTGCATAAAAAATTGGAGGTGAATGTATGAAGCATTGTTGCTGTGAAACAAATAATTTGGAGCATTGATACAGATTCAGCTTAAGAAAAATGAGCGCTCTGCTACAGCTTAACTTGGTGATATTTCCCTTTAAATATAAGAAGTAGATTATTCCTTCTGGTATTACTATATGCCAGCCTCTTCCGGGTGTTTTTGGTTTCCCCCGAGAAATGCATGCTGCTCTGCAAGGTGCTTTGCCCTTTGTTTTGTATGTAATGGGCACATAGGAATAGATATATAAATACTTTATAAAATGTCTTGATTGGTTGTTACCATCTTCTCTCATGGGGCTGATGTCTCTTGGAAGTGTTACATCAGAGAGAATGATGCCTTTTAATATTAATTTCATAAACTCCATTAAATGAGATTTTGAATCAATTGTTGAGGACTCCAGTCTCCAATTCAGAGCTGGTAATAAGTCACTGTGTCCACTCCAAAGCGTGTTAAAGTAACTGGAGGAATGCCAAATGGCCTGAATGGTTTCTGCATCAGGGCTTTTATGAAGTGTAACACTTTTCCCACTTACGTATATAGTAGATCATTTCAATAACTGCTTGAATGTAAGATCAGCTTGCAGCTCATCGGTCTTTTTCCTGCCTCCTGAGTCTACAGCATCTTGGTTCTTCCGGGGCGGTGGAATAAGAATTACAGTATAATTGCTAAACATCTCTGTCTTGGAGGAATTAGGCTCTTTCTGACTAACGTTACTTTTTTAGCACTTAGTGGTGTCCATTGGACCTGTTGTGACAGACAACTTGAAAAGCATTGTACTAGATATTCAGTGTCTTCATTAATATTGTGAATAAATTACTAAAGTTCCCTTAAAGGTTAAAGTTTCCACTTAAATAACCAGTTGTCTGTTTCCTCCTTCTTTGTTTTTGGAAAAAGCAAAGTGTTTATATGCTAGAGTTGTGCTTATTCAAACTTAATGAAGTAGCTTTTAAATTCAAAATCTGACTTGCTCACGTTGCATGCAAGATGTGTTGTTTGTTTCGGTTCATCTTTTCCTCTTACCAGGAAGAAGCTTGATGCTGGAAGACTCAGGTTTTTATTTTTTTTTTAAAGAGGTAACTTACTTCATGCATGGTTTGTGCTCAACAAGTTGGTTTAGCCCTTGAGGACTTTAATAGTTGAAAGTTCTGTCTGTAACTCTGCTGTTTTACATAAGCTCGTGCTATGGAAGAATTTTTTTCCAAGCCCTTCTTACTGCCTTTCACTCCCATCTGTCGTAACCTTTTCATGAGTGTGACCATCTGTCGTGGTAACGAGTAGCTCCTGCTGCATTTCCTAATGGATGCTCTCCTACTAGAGTTTCTTCTCTTGGATTTAAAGAGAAGTAAAAAGGTGGTAATACTGAGATTTATTTTCAGCTGCCGTTGAGGCAGCCTTGTATTCTGTTGTTAGAAACGGGTGCTTAAATTAAGGCTGTTGGTCTGCCTTTTTTTTTTTTTTTTTTTTTCTTTTAACAAAGGGGGGATTATATTCCTACTTACATTCTATTCAAGAAAAAAATCTTGTTAATACTGAGTTTTTTTTTCGGCTGCCGTTGAGGCAGCCTTGTATTCTGTTGTTAGAAACGGGTGCTTAAATTAAGGCTGTTGGTCTGCCTTTTTTTTTTTTTTTTCTTTCATTCAAACAGTGGTAGAATTATACAAATATGACTCTGTTAGTGTGTGGTGCTGCACTTTCTCAGTGAGGTATTCATCCATGCTCCTGTTCCTGTTTATTTAGCTTGTGCAAGTTCTGCTTATTCTGGCTGAACTCAGTAATTATAGCTGCTAACTCGAAATGTGTAGCAAGGGGTTTAGAAATCATGTAGTTCCTTTCTTCAGATAGGATAGATCTGGTCAAAATCAATAGATCCCCCTGATCGTCAAATGTGTTGCCTAGAAAGTAAAGCAAGCAGGGAGTATGCTGTCACTGGCACCAGCTAACAATACAGACAGGGAATTACGAGTTTTCAGTCTATCCACCGAAGTTTCACATTAATTGAACACCTTCCGTGTGATGGTACAGGCATGGAAAGAGCTTAGGAACCAAGCTACGGAGAAATTGCTTGGATGCTTCAGGGTGTTGATTCTGTACCTTGTCTGAATTGGGGTCCTGTGCTTTCTAGCATGTCGGAAGATGGGCTTTTTCTCCTTTCCCAAAGCGGTGCTTCAGCAGTCTTATTTTTCCCTATTTTGTCCAGCCTGCAACTGCTCTGTTCACATCTGGGATTTAATTGGATTACAGTGCATTAACCTTTTGTTAGTTGGGCAGGAAGGAGACCTGAGAGCCAGAATTTAGTTTATAGCCAAGGAGCGTACGGCAGCCAGAGGTTTTGGGGATATAAGTCACAGACTAACTTCTTTTTCTCTGTGTTTCCTTTGCATATACTAGATTGAGTTTCTGAGCTGAGTTGTTCGAGGTATGGAGCCAGGCAGCTCAGGAGAACACGACATCATGAAAAACCTGAAAAATGCAGCTATTACCCTCATGAATCATATGCTTGGGTATGGAAGGAGACAACAGGAATGAAACTATTGCACATTATCTTACTCATACCCTTATGTCCAAATTTAGATTTGATTTTTTTTTAATTTAAGGATTATCGCTACAGAATCTTACTTTGCAATGCAAAGAGCCCCGATTATATTACAGGAAAAAAAAAAAAAAACCACAACAAAAAAACCCAAAACACCCTGCCTTTGTGTGAGAAGAAAAGGGATTAATTCCCTTTCTTATATTTTCCTTGGAGCAATGATCTGGAGTTGAAATCCAATCTGAATATAACATTTCTTTAGCAAGCCCCAGTTGTCACCAAATCAGTGGTTAATGGGGCTTTAGTTAAAAGAGCTGATAATCAGGGAGTTCATAAATCTAAAAAGCAACATAAATTACAGGTTAAAACCAATGTTGGACTGAAATGTGGTGATCTTAAAGGCAGAACAGGAAACTGTCTGCGTAGAAGTAGGTAATAACATCGTAAAATCTTAACAATAAATGTGACCTAGGCTCATGGGCCCACAGCATGATTCTCTGAAGAGCTGCTCTTCTGTTTCAGGTACAAAGGTACAGCAACGTACTCCAGTTTCCTACTGAGGGTAACGCAGTCAAAATCAAATTACCTCTGTGTTTTAGATACTTAGGGAAGGATTGAAAAGTGATAATTAAAAGTCGGCTCTTGCAAGATCTTGCTGACAAGCAAAATTCAGGTTTTCCTTTTAAAAACAAACCAACCAACCAACAAAAACAAACCATGAAGCGGGATTCGCAGCGACTAGACCTTTTTGACAGCGTGAGGAATGGGATCAGTGGCTGTTCAGACCAACCTTCAGGAAATGCCGTTATGTGTGTTCCTTGAGGAGGAGAAGGAGACACTCACCGGGTATAGGTTTGCCCATCAGAAATGTGAGGTATACCAACTTCCACATACTAGCAAAATGGTTCCCAGTTCTGGATGGGCAGCTTGAATCTTATGCCAAACTTAGTCCCTCAGCCTTGTTAGTGCTCAAAAACCCCCCGAACAAAACAGCGGAGGGATGTTGCTTCCTTCGGTGTCAGTTAAACAGGATGTGGGTGAGCCCAGGCTCGATTTGTTTCGTTAGAATTGTAGCAGAGACTTGAGCGTAGGATGGGCTGGAAGAAGTGTCTTCTGGACTCACCTGCTTTAAGACTTAATTAGACTTAAAACACACCTGTAGCTTTCCCTGCTCAACTGAAAGCTACTAAAAACCAGGCCTAAAGATTTCTCTCTTTCTCTCTCAGGCTTCACTTTCAGAAGTTTTTTGAGAGAATAATTTATTTCAGTGGTTTAAGAGGGAGTCTGACTTACAAGATACTGAAAACTTGCTTTAAGCCAGCCATAGGATTAACTGTGAGCTTGGAAGGAAAAGAAAAACTTATTTATAGCTATTTAAAAAAAAAACAAAACCCAACAACTTGCCTCACAGGCTTCTGGTGCAGAAGAATATTTTGTCTGTGGGTAGCACGGCCTGCAGAGAATTGTTGGTCCTACTTAAAGCTGTCATTTGAAATTATCAGCTTTTAACTGTGATTTAGGTAAAGATTTCTTCCTAGTTGATTTAAGTGAGAGATTTCAATCTTGTTCTGCATTTGTGCTTTATTTCCTTAAAAGTTGATAGTGGTTGGAAACTATGAAGACACACTGATTTGTGTATAAATATAACTCTTCTGCTACTTCTGGGACTTTTTCTCACTACCCAGAAGGACAGGCATTTAAATAATTGTAGAATTTGTTTGTTGATATTGTTATGAGACTTGTGTTAAAATGGTGATGGATGCTTTATATTGATTGTTTCTTACTTGTGACTTGTCAAGCTTTTTTCATCTGAAGAATGGAAGAATTCAGATAAAAATGTAGAATTATTTTTTTTTTAATTAGGTAAAAACTATTAAACATACTGGATATGTTTTGCATTTAAAATCGAGGTACCGAGTAGCAGAACTATCGTATGTAGTTTGTTTTGCTACCCTGCGCCTGCTCCTGAAGATAAGTAACATCTCTCTTCTTCCCTCTCAGTTCTGTCAACTGCTTCTCCCAAAATGTTGAAGTACTGCCTGTTTATCGCTGTGTATCACATGCCCTTGTGGCATGTGATTCTAACATCAAATTGAACTTGAAACTTTTTTTACGATAAAGCTAACATTTCCTAAAGCATTTGTATTCATCCAGGCTTTAAACTGTTTCTCCCCCAACCTGCTGAATATCCTTTTGGACGTTTTTGCCCTTGAATCTCCTCTGAAAGAGGCTTAGAGACTTTTTCCGTATGGGTAGCAAAAGCAGATACGTCTGTTCATCTTGATTCATTTTCAACGCTGTTCTTACAGTGAATACGTTTATTCAAGGATCCCATCAAAGCAACACAAGACAGAAGGTTTGCTTGTGTAGCAGGGAGCCAATACCAGGAAAGAGCAAGCTGTGCAGGAGCCCGGTGAGGCTTGCTGGCTGTGCCGGGACTCGGGGTGCCTCTCTAGCAGGTCGCCTGCTGGCCTGGCGCTGTGCCCAGCACCCCTCGGTGTGGAGCCGTGGGGAGGTGACCAGCAGGCAGTAGTGGACTTCATCACGTGGGCACACCTGCATGGCGTTGTAGGTAGGGCTGGCGTCTTAAGGAGTAAACATATGTAGCTAATCTGGTAGGTTTGAATGAAGGCTGAGAAGCATCACTGATCTTACTTTTTTTTTTTTTTTTTTTTTTTTCTGTCTCTCCTTACAGTTGGTCCATTAACCATCACCTTCAGGGTGCTCCCTAGTGAGAGAACGATCATCAGAAAAAATCCTTTTGTTCAGCCCGGTGGCCGCTACAGGCCACCTCACTGCTTGGCCCGCTACAAATCAGCCATCCTCGTAGCCTACAGGAACCAGGAGAAGTACCTTCACCACCTTCTCTACTACATTCATCCTTTCTTGCAGCGTCAGCAGCTCAGTTACAGTATCTACTTGATTCAGCAGGTAAATCTAAATCAGATGTGCCTGGTGGTGCAGCTCAGCTTCCCAGTTAAGGGTTAACTTCTGACCAAGAGATGTGAATCTTCTAAGGTGGAAATACAGTTTTATGCATTGGTTTAGAGCAGGTCAGTTACATGCTGTCCCATCTCCATGGCTGCTAATGATAGAAATATTATACCACTTGTCAAGACTATCATTCTGCTATTGATTGGTTCTGCTTTTTTTTTTCTTCTAGAGGGATAAAGTTGTCATTAAGTGGTAACCTGTATTTTCAGCTATTCAAGAGTTGAATGTGGTTTGTCTGTAGCTTGTCAGTGTGGCTACTGAGCAAAACTGTTGAGACTAAATGCTAAAGTGAAGTTGGATGTTTTTAGTCTGTATCAAATAAAAACATCTGGCTCGACCCTGCTGTGGGGCAGCCTGTGCAGGTCAAACAGCCATTTTTAACTAACATGGAGAGGCGTGGCAAAAGATAAGTGGTGAGAGAACAAGTTTTGGATTCATTACTTAAAACTGATAGTTGATGGGGAGAGAAAAGCAGCTTTTTTCTTTGACCGAGATCTTTTTTTTTTTTTTTTCTCATTTCTAAGCTTTAATAAGCCATAGTCAGGGCAAAAGTGTTGATATGCAGATGTACACCTGAGGATTGACTTACCGGTCTCTTAAAAGTCAGCCTTCTTCAGGTGCCCACAGTGCCCAGCACCTGTGCCCCTGACACAGCAAAGCTTACAATTGCTGAGAATTTTGTGAAGAGAATGGGTGAAATTTTCAGAGTTTGGGGCATGAAATTTGGAGCCAGTATTGATTTACTCCAGTGTCATTCAACTGAACAAGGCCTTTTTACTAACATAAATTTTAATTGAGTTATCGTCTTTGTTGTTTTGGTGAAGAAATGTAGGTTTTCTTTTCCAGGTGGGGAATGGTACATTTAACCGAGCAAAGCTGCTTAATGTTGGTGTCCGGGAAGCCCTGAAGGATGAAGACTGGGACTGCCTTCTCCTGCACGACGTCAACCTAGTACCTGAGAACGATTACAATCTGTATGTTTGCGATGAGTACTATCCCAAGCATATGGCTAGTGCCATGGATAAGTTTCAGTACACGTAAGTGCCTCTGTTTGCTTTGGATGTGTGTGTTCTAACTGGTTCACTTTTTGCATAGAAAGGATGAATGGGGGCAGCGAAAGATAGAGCCTCTAAGAGGTTTTCTGTTTGTTAGTTTTGCAGTAGTGACTTCCCCAGAAAAGGGTATTCCTGACCTGAGCGTGCAATCTTGAACCGTTCCTTGCCTGCGGTTCCCTGTTCCACTGTTAGTTCAGCTTGGCAAATGACTGGCAGATTTCTTTTTGCCTTTCCTTCCAGAATAAAAGGATAGGGTGGGAATTACTGGATCCTGTGGAAGATGGGTGATAGGATGACCCAAGATGTCAATTTGAAAACCAGCTTTGCTTTGGTCTACTGGGGAGGAATGTTGGGGGGGGGGGGGGGGGGGGGGGGTTGGAACATGATAGGAATGACAGTGGTTTAGCTATTTTGGTTTTGGCATTGTAATGACAGTGTCTGTAAGGTATGCAATTAATATACGTGTGACTTGGATCACGTTGTTGATTTGTGGACTGGTATTAGCCCTCAATATTGATGCTTTTATTTTTTTTTTTTTTTTCCCCTCTTAGTCTGCCATACAAGTCCTTTTTTGGGGGTGTATCTGCTCTGACTCCAGAACATTACATGAAGATGAATGGGTTTCCAAACACATACTGGGGCAGCGGTGGTGAAAATGACGACATTGCTACAAGGTACTAATGCACAGGGCAGGCTTAAAATAGAACCAAGCTGGCTAGTGAAACCTGTAGCATTACCCTAAGAAAGGAACTAAGATGTTGGTCCTGAACGCACTTGCAGTATCATAACCCAAAATGCTGCTGGCATCGGGAATGGTTAATGTCAGAAGATGCTCAGAATCTATGAATCCAGTCATTGTGTGGTGGGAGGACAAAGCTTTCCTCAGACTCTGGAGGGCAGAGTGTTACTTCATGTCCTTGGGCCTGCAGTCGCTCTGGCGTGCGTCCAAGGGGTCATAACCACCAGCAGTTGACAAGTGACTCCATTGACATTAATGGCCACAAGGGAAGGAAGGGCTCTGCAAGCTTGACAAATAAGAAAACCAAGAAGGTACTTCTTAATTCTCAGACAGTTGGGAATTTAAGTTACGTTAAGTGCATCTAGGTCGCTCCAAGTATTACCTAATCACCAATGCTTGGAATTAAGGAACACAAGGAATTCTGTCTTCAGCGCTGGGTGATGGAGAAGCCTTGTACTATTATGAGTCACCGACAGCAAGATCTGATGTTTTTTCTTGTACTTTAGTTGCCATGGCAGCAGCGTGCTATAGAAGTGAATACAACGAGTTAATTTCCAGGTACGCTGCCTAATGCGAATTCTTCAAGTACAAAATCATGGCTGCAGCTTCTTTATTCAGCTTTGTAGCTGCACTGCGCACCTTCATCATCCTGCACTGAGGCAAGCTCACAGGGAGTTTATAAAACTAAACTGACAATAAAGGCCTTGTGCGTTTTTTGGTCTTGCACAGTGTGACAAGTTACACGGTTTTGGTGGAATGTTCTGTTCGAGGACTGCAGGAGTTTTTACAAAGCAGTATTCTTCTGGGAATTGAAAGTCAGATTTTCTAACATAGAATTCCTCCTTTTCCTTTCAGAGAAAGCTAACTAAAAGGGTGTATGATTGTTTAGAGATTCAGCATTTACTAAAGGAATGGAATGCTAGGAGAATAAATCTTTAAATCAAACACTATGATGCTGGGTTTGTTCAGCTGTTCTCAGCACAGCCTAGGCATCTAAAGTGGTTTTCAGTACGAGTGGTATAGAGTCGTGCCAGCTATGCGTAAGAGTGCGCTACAGAAACCTCTTCAGGTTATGGAGATTCAAAAATAGCCCTTTCTTGAAAGGTACGTAAAGTGGTGTTTCTCTGAAAACTAATACTAATGATTGGCAATGATGTTCTGGCCCATAGGTACATGGAGGCCACCAACAGCGCCTGTTAATGATTTATTCACATACCGAAGTCTCAACCTGCAGAAGTTAGGAATGAGCTGGCTGGTTTTGAATGGCCAGCTTGATGTACCTCCTGGGATTTGGATTTTAGGAGGTGCTCAAGCACTTCTTACCATGTAGCAACAAAATTAGTTAGCATTTGAAATTGGACATTGAAATGTTAAAAAAAGAAAAAAAGTCGTGTAAAGATTTTTTTGCTGGGATACTTATGTGTTTTAGTTAAAAAAACATGCTGGCTGCTGCTTATAGTTGGCAGACTGCAGTACTCTAAAATATCAGTCCTAGCTAACACCAGGATCTACCTTTTATTAGAAGAAAACACTAATTGGAACCACTTCCATGTTAACATTATCAACTACAGGAAACTCTGTTGGGTTCTTCTTAACAGTAAATGAATGTCTTAACTGTTTCCTATTACGGTTTTAGTTTAATCTTGCAATGCAAAACTGTAACAGCAAAGCTAGTTTAGTGTTCTTGCTTTTCTTGTCTTTTTGATGGAATATGTAATCAGCTTATGTTCAGAAAACAAGAAAGCTTGTCTAAAACTCAATCTGAAATAATAGTATGTCATACTGTCAGTGTAGTGTTGTAATCATTTGATGGCTCTAGACTAACAAATATGTTCAGTTCTGTAGCCTCTTTCAGCTTTA